CCCCCCCCCGCATTGGCTTGCTTTCGTGGAGGCTGCGATCCTGCACGTGCTTACGCAGGAGTAAGACCCGCTGAAGTCGGCGGGCTTGCATCCGAGTAGACGCTCCAAGCGTTGCTCTTGTAGTCCATCGGGCTGATTTCCCACACACTAGTCTGAATGGTAAAACTACATTCTTGGGAAAGCCCAGTTTTATTCAAAATAATAAAACTGTGTCATCTTTTGGTGGTAAAAAGCTTTTATTAGTTTGCATTTTACAGGTGCATTAAATAAAGCTAAAGTCTACAAGGGAAAGTTATTTTTCTTAGGCAAATCTATCACAGGAGACAAGTTTAGATATATTAAAAATCTTAACTGTACACACAGATAAAAATAGTGGATCAATTATCACAGAGAAGTCAACAACTGAGGCTCTCCATGTTTCTCATTTTAATAGGATTTTTTTCAAGTTTTGTCTGCCTGCCAAATTTGTAGAGCTCGTCCATTATCCCTACAATTTCCCAATACAGTAAGAAATATCAGAAACAGAGATATATGTGGACAAATTGAACCTGTTTTGTTTTTATATATGTTGTAAAAAATACTCTCTCATTTTCAACAAACCATACTTTACCAAGATGTTTTACATTACCAAGATTTGTAACAGCAACCGGTCGGAGGTGCAATTCCTGCAGTAGCAAAGCCTATTTAAGACCTCCCCGGAAAAACTTATGAACTGAGCACTGGGAGATTCTGAATTTACCACAGCACTGAGCGATCTGTTCCTGTAGCAAAAAAGAGCCACAATCCATCCATGTCCCACTGAAACCAGAGGAAGGGAATTAAGCACATGCTTAAAACGTGCTCCATTTAATTTTGTGGTAACTTTGGCTGCATTGCACTCTAAATTCTGGAAAACAGAAGAAATTTAGGAATAGAAATTGTTCCTCTGATAATACCACTTTTTAAGGATACAGTAGTTTTACAGTTTTATTTTTTGCTTCTTTTCCATCTATTACTGACAAATATTTTCTAAGATCAAGAGTGTCTGGTTTTGTTTGAAGTGTCAAGCATCAGACCATTTTGGGGTAAAACTGCAGGAGGCTAACAGGACCCTATTTCTGGAGAAAGCCTGACCGAGTCTCAAGACATCCGAGAGCCGAGCCCAGTCTGGGCATTTGTCTCCTGGCCCAGGAGCTCACCCACACAAAAGTGCCAGGCTCCTTTTTTATAGATGCACAGGTATTGCAGGAAGTCCGCCTCAAGTGCTACATTTTATAAATAATAACCCATCCTCAGTATGATTCAGGACAAATTCATAGGACGCATCCAGTCTTATGCTCAAAAGGCATGGGGATGCTCTAACTGTAGACTGGTGTGATAAAGCCTGAACTCGCACAGCTAAACTGCCACTGCTCCAAGTTCGTGTCAAAGGGAGCAACACCCGAAGCCTGTTCACACTCCAGGTTCCACTAAACAGCTTTCAAACAAGATGGCGAGTGCTTGAAGGCCCCTGTTAAATGGCAGCAGACCAGAATGTGCGTGTTTCAAGAGGAGATCGTGTGTTCCGTCATTCAGAAAATATTTAATGTACACATTGGCGAGCCCATGAGGATTCCCAGTCCTCTTGCATCGGGCCTAGTCATTCCTCAGGAGTGGAGCATCAAGAACCCTACGCCTTTCCGCCATGTGGAAACCGCACAGGTTAACTGTTCAGGCAAGGAATTCCCCAGGCACAATCAAGGCGCACCAGGCTAGTTTCGGGATTCTGAAGAAGTCGGGCTGCGAACTGTGGACATCAGGTGTGACTTGTACGTCTTGCTCAGGCCAGTCATCCAGAACTTCAGCAGCTTCACATTGTCCTCTTCGGCAGCTCCCAAGATGCTCAGCAGCTTCTGGGTGTCCTCCTTGGGCCTGCTGTCCACTTTGGTGAACTTGAAGAGGACTTTCACTTTACTGCAGAAGCCAGAAGTGAGATTATTAAAATTCACACACTCCAGATGCCTCAAACTAGCACTTGCATGATTTCTCATCACTGGCCATGCAGTCTGGGGCAAAATTCTGAGAGCACCAGACTGCCTGCCTCTGGGTCAAAAGAACTCATTGGGTCAAAAGAACACCAGCAGTGAAAGAAAGCATGGCTCAAACTGCATTTTAATGCCCCTTAACTGCACAGCACTTCATTCCAGCCCTGCAAAACTGAGCTCCATCCTCTTCCCTATTTTTTTAGTTTATGAGCCTGAAGATACCTTTCGTTTCTGTGCTTTGCTTTAAAAAATAGCTGTCTGAAAAGCAGATAAACATCCAGTATAAGAAATAAAAATGATGGCGGGCAGGAAGGCAAGAAGCTGGATTTGCGTGTGCAGCTACTTTTAAAACCAGAGGGTGGGCAGCCACCTACTTCATCCACTCCTCCTTCAGGCAGATGAGGCACTGGTCCACCACGTCCACAGAGAGGTTTTGGTTCGTCAGGGCAGCTTCCATCTTGTTCAGGATGGTGGGGCCAACTGCATCCAGGAAGAAACGGCTTAGTTACATCTCCCCCTCAGGCTTGATGAGCAGGGAGTGTGTCATTTTAAAAAAGTATGTCCAGAAATCTTCCTCCAGCCACTTCTTCAAGAGCCACCGTTTCCACAAAGCCTCTGGCACAACCCCTTCCTTCCCATCTCTTGTGGTAACCCAGTCTGTAATGGAAACAGCATATATTTCCCCTGTCGATCCTTGCCTCAGTTTTCTCCTCCTCGTTAGACTGCAAACTCCTCAGCGCAGGAACCAAATAAACAGGGACACCACTTCTCAGCTACTAGTCTGATCAGGGTGAAACCTGTTGCTGGAAATGCCCTGAATTATACAGACACTGTTGCCGGGATGTCCTCTCCCCAAAGCTGGTGAAACCAAAGCGATGCAAAAGACAGGCAGTTGTGCTTACTGTGCATTGTTTGCGGGTATTCAGTATTTTTCCGCAAACAGTGCATAGGCCTGCTCACAATACGCATGTCACTGACTAACCAGGTTCAGGTGAAACGTGCCACTTCATGGGCAGTCAGCTTTCAGGAAGCAAACAGGTAGTCTCTGTTTTGCACATCAGGGTTCAGAGGTAAATAAGGATACAGTCAGCCCCTCCCAAGACCATGTCAGGAACCCCTCTGCCTTCCCTTGGTGATACGCAATTTCCCCAGGTTAAGGGGATCCTTGGCAGGTTGCTTACCTCTGTCGGCTACCACAGAGGTCCCACTCGTGACCACAAATTCGTATTTGCTGAGGGGCTGCTCATCATCAAATAGGACGGGATAGAGGCTTGACCTCGTGGCACTGCGGACCTCCACAACAACAGCAAATTCTAGAGTAAGAGAAGGCCCACGCATCTATAGCATCTCTTTGGATTTTCAGAAGGATTAGGGCGAGGAGCAGAGGGAAGGAGCCAACATGCTTGCTTTCTCCTGCCCACGCACACTCTCCAGGGTTTAAACATGACTTGCGAATCGTGCTGATGCTGTTGCAAGGGTGAAATGGGTAAGGGAAGGAACCAGTGGAGCGGTCTGAGCACACTGGAATAAGAGTCTGATAAGGCTGTGTTGAAAGAGAGAAGACCGGCCTTTCGACAGGCAGAGCAGGTGCTCTGCCACCAACCCGCACATCCACCGTGACAGCTGACCCGCTGATACATGCGATCTGAGTTGCAACAGCCATACCGCAAAAGCAGCCCCAAAAGTCACCAAAACGGCCGCCTTGAGCAAGGTTGAGCCTATTTCAGAGGCCGAGCGGTGGCCAGACACACTTAATTCAAGGTGCGAACGTGGGAGGAAGTCGTGTTCTCACCGGAGCAGAGTACGTGCGGCGGGATGTGCACCTGGGGGCTGAGGCCCAGGAAGTTGCACCTGTACGCCTCCTCGTACGTGTCGCTGTAAGGGATGAGGCGAACGCAGCCGACGGGCAGCATGGTCTGGCACGGGGAAACGGAAGAGGGTCAAGAGGCGAGCACCCCGGGAGAAGCACGGGGGCCACTCCTGCCTGCTCAGGCCGGAAGGGGCAAGAGGGCCACCTACCCCACCCTCCTCTCAGGACAGCCCCGCATCCCCGAATCGGTGAGGAGAGCAGCTGCTCCTACCCGCAGGACATCAAAAGCAGACTGGACGAGGTCTTGGTCTTGCGCTTTCCAGATGACCTGATTCCCCATGAGCACATGCCAGGCCAATGTGCGGAAAGCCGATGGCCCCAAGACCTGAAGCAGCAAAAACAGATTCAGCATCGCCTCCCTTTTTTAACATTTGCATTCTCCTCCCAGTTTTGACCCACAGCAACCCTGCACAGTGGTCTTCCCACTCGGCCAACCGAGTCCTCCTGCACCTTATTCCAGCACAGATGTAGGAGCACAGAACATCCAGAACATCACTGACCATCCTTGCCTGCGGCCTGCTGGGCACCGGAGGCCTGTTTGCCCTCTACAAGTCATCAGATCGCTCCCCTGTGCATTGGGTGAAGCCATACTGGGGAGCACCCCAAGGAACCCGCAACTCTGAACATCATAATCGATACTTTAACGATGTCAAGTGATTTTAACAGCATGGATACTTCCAGCCTGGCCTACTGGCAAGCAGTCTTTGTTGGCTCTTGTTTGTCAGCAGTGCCAACGGAAGGAAAGGCAGCACCTCAGCGCCAGCACATACATGAATGGCCCTGGTGCATTACGCACTGGAACACAACAAGCCAACCAGTTCAACCTCCCAATAACCCGCCCCCCCGCACCTTTACCTGTCTCAAGTGCCGGAGAGATCGGAAGACAGACTGATGTCTGGGTGCCGCATTCCAGCTACTGCAGTCCACCACAAGAGAAGAATCCGTTGGACTCTTGATCAGCTCGTGGCCTTCTCTGCTATCGGCTTGGCTTGGAGATTTTGCCTCTTCCTCCTCCTCAGAGTTATCCCAGCCTTCAGATTCTTCCTCAAGATCTTGGAAGAGAGAGAGATTTGGATGATGAATATATTCATTCCATGCTCCGTCTGGGAACAAAAGCCAATCTTTCACCTCCATGAAAGAAATTAGGAGGGTGGGTACTCGGAGGAGGGCTTCCTCTGCGGTGGCACCTAAGTTATGGAATGCGCTCCCCAGAGAGGTGCGCCTGGCGCCATCGTTAGTTGTTTTTCGGCGCCAGGTGAAGACCTTTTTATTTAAGCGGCATTTTAATGTTAATATTATTGGATTTTATCTGGCCAGGGCGGCTTATTTTATATTGGTATTTGTATTTTTAACTTAATGTTTATATTTTTTAATTTAATGTTATAATTATTTTTTAACTTATTGTTGTAAGCCGCCCCGAGGCTTCGGCGAATGGGGCGGCATAAAAATGTTTTAATAAAAAATAAATAAAGACCCACGCATGCTTCAGGCTCATGCTAACAGGACACAGCAGTAATGGCGCCCATGTGCACGCGCGTCATGCACACCTCTAGTGCACCTATGCACGTGCACACACGCATCCCTCAAACAACCCCCACTGCACGTAACAGCAATTTCTGGACAGCAGAGCAAGGCATTTCAGCGTTCTCACGTTTCTATCCCACCCATCTCCCGTGAGTGAGTTCAAGGTGGTGTATGCAGCATTCCGACGCAGTCTCCCTTCCAAACCCAAAACCACTCGGCTTCCGGAAAAGTGGCCTTACTCTGCGTCCACAGATCATCTTGTGGGGCCAGACTTTCCTCCAAGGAACTTGCAGCTTGTTCCTTATTGACCCCATCATCCTATGAACCGTCACCTCACGAGGGTCGCAGCAGAACAGGGACTGGAACCTGGGTTTTCCCAGCCCGAGCCCTCAGCCGTGTTTCATGCAGCCTGCGGGGGAACCCGCTCCCCAGGCGTGTACCCTGCTGCTGCTTTTCTGGACTGTCCCCCTGCGAGCAGCTGTGCCCGCCTGCAAGCGGGGAAGAGGCGCGCTTGCTCAGCTCCCCCTTTCCACCAGCCCCTCCCAGCATTGCTCACAGTTCCCAGCTGACCCATGGGCAAAAGGATTCCCCACCCAGGCCGTACCGGCCAGCTTTTCCATCTGGACCAGCGTGTCTTCCGTGGGCGCACCCTCCAGCAGCTTCTCGGTCAGCCTGCTGCCACAGGCTTTCAGGAGCCTGAGGAAAAGGAAAGCAAGGCAAGGCAGGACGCATTAAACCCCGCGATTAATGCAACCAACCAAGGCCCTCTGTTCTCGCCCTGAAATGCGCATTCCTTCCCTCGTGCCAGTAGCTATGTGCTTCACCAGAAGGCAAGACCTGCCGAGGAACACTGGCAAAGTTAGCTAAGCAAGACTGCCTGTTCCTGGACATGAAACAAAATATTCCAGGAAAAAGTGCCAGCGCAGACTGAAATTCCCAATAATCACAGGGGAATCGCTGAACTTTCACCAGGTATTGGGCGCTCTCTGTAACACACGGACATCTATTTATTCTCCCTCCCTCCCTCCCTGCCCTCTCATACACATGCAGATTTCATTGGCTTGTGAATTGTAGCTGAACAGAGCTTCCACATTCAGATCCCCATGCCGAGAGTGCCATTACCTCCGTGTTCTGCCTATGGGAGCAACCCACCTGGCCATTGCTGTTTAGTCGCAAAGTCGTGCCCGACGCATCGCAACCCCATGGACAACGTTCCTCCAGGCCCTCCTGTCCTCCACCATCCCCCGGAGTCCCCCAAGCCCACAGGCACCGCCCCAGTGGCCCCATCCAGCCCCCTCCTCCTCTGCCGCCCCCTTCTCCTTTTGCCTTCAGTTGTTCCCAGCATCAGGGGCTTCTCCAATGAGCCCTTCCTTCTCACTGGGTGCCGAACATATTTGAGCTTCACCTGGCCATTATGGGATGCAAACAGCTGAACTAGAGAGATCTTTGGTCCAAGCCAGCAAAGCCCTTTGTACAACTTTACTTAAGCCTCAGATCCATACAGGTGGCTCACTATCCCCCCACGATCTTCTGAACAGCTTGCAAACCGCCTGTGACAGACATGCAAAATGCATCACCAAGCGAAGGAGGTGTGAAGGCAAGCCCAGAGGTTCTCGTCGTTGGTCAGAGAGGTGAGAGACCGAGCCGCGTTTCCATTCCGCTGGTGCAGGAAAGGTGTGAAGGCCGTGTTCATTCGCTGGGCACGCTGTGGGCATCCGTACTGCTCCGCTTCGAAGACCTGAGTTCCAAGCAATGGCAAAAGCCTTCAGAAGCCCAGCTTTGACAAAAGCCCGGGTAACATCTGTATTTTAGAGAAAGGCCATCCCACTCCTCCATCAGAAACACGCCTAGAGCAGCTTACAAATAAAGCACACAACAAACCAGACTCTGCCCACAGGTTAATAAGCTTAAAATTCACAGCACGCAAGGAAAGACAATGGAGAGGGAAGAGGAAAAATCACTCCTTTCAGCAGGTCTAATAGAGCGCCCCTGGTTCCCCTTCTGGAACAGCCTCCTGGAATAGCTGGTGAGGGGGATCACTGAGGACAGGAGCCCTCAGTGAAGGAAATTAGGAGGGTGGTTACTCAGAGGAGGGCTTTCTCAGCGGTGGCGCTTAAGTTATGGAATGCGCTCCCCAGAGAGGTCCGCCTGGCGCCATCGTTATTTGTTTTTCAGCGCCAGGCGAAGACCTTTTTATTTAAGCAGCATTTTAAATGTTAATAATATTGAATTTTATTTGGCCAGGGCGGCTTATTTTATTCTAATGTATATATTTTAATTGTTATTGTCTTAATTTATTGTGTATTTTATTCTATGCTGTGAGCCGCCCCGAGGCTTCGGCAAGGGGAGGCATAGAAATGTTTTAATAAATAAATAAATAAATAATCTTTATGGACAGACCTGTCCCGTTAACTGGGAACTAACATGACTGGCTACCCTCTCACTGGGGAAAGCACAGCGAAGCGACCCGGCGGTGCCTCGTGAGACAAGTATCGCCACACCTTCAGCGCTTTGCCCTGCAGCTCGTCGATGATCCCTCGGATCTTCCCCAGCAAGAAAGGCCACGAGTTGATGAGGTAGATGCGGTCCATCATGATGGCGATGATGCTGTACCAGCGCTGGAAGCCGCGGGCCAGGCTGTCCTTGATGAAGAAGGTGTGGCTGAAGACAAAGCCGTGCTGCTCGTCGCCGAAGAAGATGGGGCCCTCACGCCCTGGGCACACCTAGCCGGGCAGGCAAGGCAAGGCAAGAGGCCAAGTGGGCCCGAAGGAACACCCCACAGACGCTCGGCAGCCAGGAGGGAAGGAAGGGGAGACGGAGCGCCCTCGCCCGCCCCCCCACAGTGGAATCACGCCCCTTCCCTGCACCTGGCACGCTCCCTGGCACGCACCACTCGTTCCCTGAGCTTGGGCAAGTCGTCTTCCTGTAGGAGGCCGGCACGCTGCGAAGCAAAGCAGCCGGCAGCACCGTCTTTGGAGCCGCTCGTCCTGGAGCTCAGCCTCCGCCTCTGCCCTGTCCTTCGGCTTCGGCGTAGCCCACGCGCCTTTCACCCTCACCAGGCCACAGGCTTTCTGACGGGCCAAGCCCAGCCCACGGCAGCCATTTTGTAAGGGCGTTCATGGCATCTGCTCAAAGCTCCTACTGTACCCACCGCTCCAAAACGGTCGGGGAGCCCGTCTCGGCTTCTGTTTGGAGGGATGCTCTCGGCACAACTGTGTTTATTTGTACTCTTCAAACACGCAGACCTGCCTACGAAGGGATCTTTTGTGACGTGGCTTACCTCACAACTGAGGCTGCGGACGCAGGCCTGGCGAACGATGCTGAAGAGTTGGGGGTGATTTGGATGCTGGTGGCTGACATATTTGATGGAGGTCTCTTTGTCATGGCTGACATATCCGGGGTGCCCCACGGGAAGCGAACGGCAGCCCTAACCACAAAAAGAGAAGCAGGTGGTAAGAATTCTCTTAGCCATGCCAAGAAGGAAGTCTCTTAGGAAGGAACTGAGAAACCTGTTGAATTGGGCACCCTAACAGCTCAACAGCCAGGCTTCTCTAACCCAGGTGTGTTGAAAACAATCTCCCATCATCCCCAGCTAGCACAGCCAAAGACGTCTGGAGGGCACCCTCTCAAAGAAAGCTGCATCCAAGGATGGGATGGCTCACGACTCCAGAGTGACATGACACAGGTTGAGCTCTATCAATTGCCTCTCAGTCTAGGACCCGGCTGGGCAACTGCTTAGGGGACCTGGTGTGGTTGTGCTGAGATAAGGGAGGAATCACATTTAAGTCCTAGCATACATAGATCTGCAGAACGGCTCCTAGTTGAAAATAGCAAGAGCTTGGGGGCGGGGGGAGGGAGAGAGCTAGAGGCAAGTCTATTTTCTGTGGATTTGTCATGGAGCACAAACAGCCACACATGATTCAACGGGATATGCGACCCTTTCCCTATTTGCATAAAAGGAATTTGCATGGAACACGGCACTGCTTCCCTCTGGGTAAAGGACTGAGCTGTGGCAGATCCTTTCTCGGGGGACCCATACAGATAAGGCGAGTGTGGGCACTGGATCAGCTAACCATACCCTGATCCCCCACGAGCACTGGGAGAGACACTCGCCTCACACATGTCTGACTTCTTCAGCCCTGGGCTGCTGGACTCTGCGCTGGCCCCCTCTGCCGGGCTGTGCGAGCGGATCCGGCTGCTCATCTGAATGCCGCCTTCCTCCTCCTCGGCCTGCTCGCTCGGCCCAGGGCTGTCTCCGCTTCCTGCCCCCTGCGGAAGAGGCGCGTGCAGGACCTCGGTGCAGAAGAGCGTGCGGGGACCATGCAGCTCGCAGAAGTGGCAAAGGACCACAATGGCGTTCATGGTGGGGTCCCTGTAAAACAGAGAGCGGAAGAATGTGCCTTGCGCAGGAAGGCAAGCCTTGCCCACGTGGCATGTTTAATGTCCGTTCCAGTATTTGTATGCCACCTTTTGTGAAGAAGTGGGTCAATTAAGTTGCGGTCCTATGCAGGTTTAGACAGGAAAAAAGCTAGAAAGCCTTCTGACAAAGCAAGGTTGCAGATGTAGAACTGCTCAACCAATGCAAGAGTGTACGCGTTTATATTTAAGTCCCATATTATTTTTAATTCAAAATAACACCCATAAGGCCTCAAGTCTTTTCTTCGCCCTGGATCAGGCCCTGGTCTGATCAGACCCAGTATTCTGTTTGCATAGCAACCAACCCCGGAAAGTCCACAAGGAGAACGTGAGCGCAACAACACCCATGTTCCCCAGCAGCTGTCATATGCAGGAACACCGCCTCTGATCCTGGAAGAAGGTCTTAACCTGAGTGGATAATCCATCATCCCTGCTGCAACTGATGCACCGACTTTTACAGCGAGGCCGTTGCTGCCTTGGCTGGCTTCGCGGTTCCATGGACCAGCTGATCCGAGCCACCCCGGAACAGAGACGTTTAAAAAAACAATACATTCTGGGGGCCCTCCTCACTGCAACGGGCGGCCCCAATCCTGCTTCCCTGGCGTTCTCACATACTGGCTCCTTTCCTACACGAAGAGAACGCCGTTTAAGACACGCGCTCGCAAGCCCTTCTGACGCCAGAAGTGACAAAAGACAGTACCTTTTCCCTCGTCTTTCCCCCGGTGCCAAACCAAGTTTCTAGTCCTGGTCGAGGTTGCTTCCGACTAAGAGGGGATCGTACCTGTTTTCTCTCTGCACATGCGCACTTTCCCCGGCCTCTGACCCCGCCCAAGGCGCCTGACACCGACTGGCAGGGAGGAACCATTACGCGAGCTCTTGAAGGGGAAAGCAAACGAGCTCTATCCGTCTTTGTAAGGCTCAGAGGGGTGAAAAGCAGCGAGGGAAATGATAACGCATACAAACACTAGTAGTATCGATTTATAAATTTCATTTAACAACTGCCAACCTTCTTCTCCTAGTCCATCACTCTTTCTTCCCCAGAATCGGCACATGGTTCAATCCGCAGCCGCTCCAGCTTACGAGGGACGGGCGAGCCCATCGGTACAGGGGGGAATTGCTTCCCAATAGCGCGTCTCCATTTGGCAGCACACGGCGAGCGGACGTACGGCCTCAGGAGAAGATCGGCGCAAGAAAGATATGAGGAGCTTCCAAAGGGAGGACGAAGAGAGTTACTGCTGTTCAGAAACGTACCCCTTTCCCCCTCCTCTTTCCCTGCGGTAATGGTACGACCCGGCGAATCCTGTGCCAGTCATATGACAGAAACAACACAACCGCGTCCGGTAACAGCCCCTCGAAGGGCGTGCGGTGCACGTGACGGGCAGAGGCGGCGATTTAAAGGGCAGGGCCGACAGCGCCCCTCGTATAAAGGGGCGTTTAAATATTCATATTATAATAATTAGCTATGATAAAAACTAATGCTGTACACAGTAAAAAGGACAGAGCAGCTCTCTGCCCCGAGGAGTATGCAGCCATTTATCTGCAGCACTGGGGGCTGTTTCCGTGGTGTTCATTCCAGGCATGGGGGCAGAGCAGCAGTTTTTATAGCGTATTGTTTCTAGATTATGCTTTAATGGTATTTATTTAGGTTATATTATTGCACTGATGGTTTGACACTCATTTTGGGTTTTGTCATACCAGGGATGGATTTCAGGACTTGTGTGTTTGAACTGTTTCTAGACCTTTTGTGGTAGGTAGGAAGCAACGCGTGCTTGTAATACATGATCCTGCCCAGCAGAGGAAAGGATGCAGTATTATAATATCCTTGCATTTACGTCCCACCCTTTTCCTCTATTGACCAAAGGAAACAATGTGTGTTTATTTCAAGTGCAGGGAGTTAGGAGTGTTAAGGGCTGTGAGCCAAAAGCTTTAGGGAAAATGAGGATTGTGAAGGAGGATTTGGAAGGAGGGGTGCAATCCCACTAACATGTCCAGAAATCCCAGCTACCAAATCATGGCATCAATCTAAATACCACAAATTACTGCTGTATAGGACTTTCATTGTGCATCATCTCATGCCATAAATCTGGTGAACAAAACAGCATCAAATGCTCAATATTTCTTATTCAACAGATCATACTTTTAACATTGTTTTTTGCCACAGGGTTTTGCAACTTCTGTCTCAGCAGGTCCCCTTTTCTTTGCTTTTCGACTGATAAATGGAAGTGAGGAACAGTGGGAACTGAGTTTAAGTTATGAAGCAAGGTCCGGAGATGGTCCAATAAGGACAGACAACCTGTGGCTCTCCAGCCACTGAACTTCCGTGCCCTGTACCCCCTTCCACTGCACCTGTGTGGCAAGGGTGGTGTTAGGTACCAACCAGAACCAGGGTTCAGGCCTGCAGGACCAAAACAAGCCGATCTGTGTACTTTCCAGTCTGAATGGCTGTCACTACCTTGTCTTCTAAGGACCTTCTTATTTGCAAAAAGGGATGCGTGGCCAGCAGAGAGACACACACTTGATGTCAGGGGAACAACTCAGGCAGAGAGATTCCGAGTGGAGGCAGGAGGTGCCGAAACGCAGGAGGGCCCAGAGCCAGCTAAATCCAGGGGGACCCCCAGCAGCAGAGATGATCGGGGCTGCAGACCTTCATCCAGGTGGTAGGACAGATGGCCTCCAAATGGAAGATTCAGGGCTCCAGCCCTGGAGCGGGGGGGGGGGGGGTCACACCCTAACACCACCTCTGCTCTGCTGGCTAAGGCTGATGGGAGCTGCAGTCCAACCCGGGGCTACAGCATGGAAGTACCATTTCTCTTCCGCACCGGGACTTACAGACACAACACATGTGCTGTGGAATGACCCATGGGGTGCCCTCTTACTCTGTCTGAGCAAGTTGCATGACATGGGGATTTTCCGACATGGGTTCAAGTCAGCTTCATTTATTGCTTCTTTTATTATTTTCTCCCATTTTACTGTTCGGTGCTCATAGATTTTGCTGAATATGCGGTATACATCAAAGACACTAACTCAAATGCGTAGAATTGGTGGCAGAATCTCCTCTCCCGCCCGATTCCGCCTAACTTTTTAAAAAAAATTAAGGCAGTTAAACTTCAGAATATTTCTACCTCATCTGCTAGCCAAGGTCCCTGCAGTTGTCTGCAGTATGTGTAAAATACAACAGGCAAGCTTATTAGAAGAAAGGTGCCTGCCCTGTTCTCCATCAGACCGCAGACCTCCTGTTCCAGGTGTTGCGTCTGAATCTCTGCCCCTTTTCAGAGGAGGTGGGCACAGCCGCAGCCCACGCAAGTCCCTCACAGGATGGGCACTTCATCACCCCAGACGTCTCTCCTACCTCTGGCTGCTCGGGCAGACACGAGGGGCCTGGGAGAAGCCTCGGGAGACCCCCATCCTCTGATGTCCCACTGGATCCAAGGCAGCTCCAGGCATTGCTCTGCTTCAAACAACCCCTCTGTGTTTTGGGCTGCATCTACCAGAACCCCACATGTGGGATATTTAAAACCAACTTGGAAGTAATGCTGTTTGCCAACATTTTATTTGTCGCTAAAGAATACAGTTAACAGTGCCTCAGGACCGACCTGTCAGCAACCATGCAAAAAACAAAAAGGGAACATTTCTCAAAAGTATAAATAATTCCAGTGATACACAAGACAGATCACAACCGCACTAAAAATAGGGCAAACTTGTGAAAAGCTCTTTTAGAACTAGGATGGGAGTCAATATAATACGATGGTATGCAAATGCCGTGCAACTGGGTTTTTATATGGCACATGCTGTTCCAGAGGCCTTGCTTCTGAACTAAGCAGCTGGTGGGTTTCGGTTTTTATGATCCTCAATAGATCTGAAGTATACCTGCATTTCAGGCCCAAAACCTTCCATCTGATTTAAGATAAATATACTGGCTAACCCATAGATTTGCTTCCACAAGGGGATTTTCGGATGGAAACTGCTGTTAGCATAATCACATGTTCTCCCCTGCAACTTGACGCAGGACAAGCACGGGATTGTAGTAACAGAGTTTGTGCAAAGACCTCTTTATGTAAATGCAGAGCATCTAATGCATTCCAGATGCTCACCATATCGAGGGAGGCGAAGGTATGATCAAACCTGCATTTAAGCTTCTGCCACAGCACAAGTACCACCAAGTCCATTAACTGTACAACTAGGTAAGGAAAAGGACTGACTTTTTTGAAAAACAAGCCCACAATGCTCGAGCTTAAAGGAAGGGCGTCAGATAACGATTTGTTTACATTACGTGGGAATGCTGCATGTAGCAAACCAGGGTTGGACTGAGACCGGGTTCATCCCCATTTGGCCACCCAGTGGTTCCTCGTAAGGAAGCTGCCCCGGCCCCCGCTCATCTTCAAAACGGCAAAACAGAGACGTTGCGCAGCTCACTAGTTCCGCAGCGACACTCTCGCGCTAACCACACACCCCTGTTCCCAGTCAGCAGCCCCGACTGACTGGTGGTGAATCTCTGGAGTTCCAAGCAGGAATCTTTTCCCAGCCCTGCCTGGGAATCCCAGGGAATTCTTGGCACAAGGATGGATTTAGGAAGAGCACAAGTTCAGGATGCCTTAACACGGGTCACTTAGGCCTCACCGAGGGAGGCAGAGTTGGTGTTGGACTACAGCGCCCATCATCCTTTACCGATAGCTATGCTGGCTGGGCCCAATGCAAGATGCACTTACATCAGCTAGATGGCCCCACAATCTCCCAGCCCTGTGGGAAAGAGATCTTGCATGTGAACACTTTCCCAGCGCCCCACGTCCTCAGAACCTCTGTAAGAGGAGACACGTTGAATGAGATACCTTGGGTGTTTTGGCGGGGTTTTTTCGAAGGATCCTAGCCACCAGCAAGCATCCGCAATCTTCTCCTCTTCTGTGCTGTAAGAACTTGGGCTGACGCCACTCTCAAAGAGTCGGGACATCGGGGCTGTGGCAATGCCCAGCTTCTGGACAGATGGATGCAAGACAGTACACACTTCGCAGAGTTAACAGAACACATGCAACCCGTCCAAGTAATTCGGCAGGTGTGAGCAGTCCTGTTTGGGGGAGGGCAGGGCTTTGCAGCTGGGTCTGCTTTGGGCCCCCACCCCTAATAAAAACAGCCTCTGCCTGCCTGCCTGCCACGAATTGCCCACATGCTCTGGATTCAGCTTTCAAATGTCTGCCATGGCTCTTTAACGCCCGCTGGCCCACCCTGCCGGCAAGTTTTGACCACCATGCTGCACAAGAGCGCATCAGAGCAAGCAAACCCTAAAACATTTCTCCCCTGCTGCAGCCTGCAAGACATGGCGCCATTTTCCAGGCTTGGGCATATAAATGGGCACAACGGCTCCTTGCCAGGGCACAGGAAATTTCTGAGTAAGTTCCCCTTTCCAAAGCCCACCTTATAGCCCATTCCAGATCTTGTAAGTTGTCTACAACTCGCCCTTTGTAGCGCAGGTCGAGGCAGGAATAGTGGAGCTGGAAGGGACCAAGGAGGCCAGCCCCCTGCGAACCCCATGTCCTGCCTAAACCCTATTCCAAAGGAGCCAGTGCCCACAGCAGAGAGGGGCAAGCTGCAGGCCCACACATCCAGAGGATCACAACTCTTACGGTTCCTCACTACTGGCTAGACTAATCTGGGCCCACAAGCGTGTTCACCCAGCACTTCTGCACGTCACCACCGTACTTGGTCACAGCGGCTGGCTGGACCATGAGGGATGCCAAAGTATGTAAGTGCTAGCTTGGCTCCCTCTTAGGTACGTAGCTTAAGGAAAATGCAAAGTTTTACAGAATAATCTTGCAAGCTCAGGCCTTCTGAGCTCAAACGAGATGTCCTGTCATAGACTGACTGTGCCACAGGACCAGAGGCATCACTGCTCCACCTCGCTTCTGCCTACATGAGCCAGGTGCTACGGGGGGGCAGGAACGCAGGGCCCGGCTGGCCCACCTGCAGCTGGGAGGGCTGCAATGAAGCCCGTCAGCTGCCATGGTGGCAGGAACTACAGGGCAAGAGTGATCTAAGCAGCAGTGAGACGCTCCCTCCTTCCCCTTGCCAATCAGCTCGACGGACTTTCAAGCGAGGAAAGCCACCAAGGAAATGCATGCGCCAGCTTTAATTGTTCAGGGTGGGTGGGGCTCAAGAACTGCAGTCTCCCCACCTGAATATCAGCTCTTGGGTTCATACCAAGGGCTCATAAAAGAAGGCTTTTTATGAAGCGAACAAGTGAAGCAAGAACGCTTTGAGTTGCTTTTCATCTTGTCAGTACTTCTCCTTCCCGGAATAAGCATCACAGTTAAGCTTTATGAATTTTGCATGGAAGGGAAACAAGGCCATTATAAGAACAGCAACATTCAGGCCACATAAAACAAAAAGTAAATTATTTAATGCATTAACCAGGTCAATCTCAAAATAAATCTATAACAGAATGAGATGTTCCTTCCTTCCTTTGCAGAGCGTATTTGACATACAGTACTGAGAAGACATCATTTTAGTTTTGCTTAATTGTCCAGATGAAACAGTCCACTCTCTGCTTTCATTTTGGATTTGCCTTTTTAAACTCTCAGATCCTAAGGGTGGTTCGTTTTAGCTTTTTTTTTTTTTCTTTTTGCTCTACATTATAGTGGCAATCAAAATGTGATTTTCAGGAATAACTGGATGGTTTGCTTCCTGATTCATCTTCTTGGGAGCCCATGCTCTGTTAAGGAAAAAGAAGAGCTGCTTAGCGAGCACCTATGGCCCAAAGACGCCGCCGTGACAGAGATGTGGAGGAGCGCGGCTTTCTTTTGCGCCAAGGAGACATCATTTCCCAGACCCACACTGCTGCTTTCTACTTCCCGTCCCATTACACGGCCGAGATCACCGCTCAGAGACAAAACTGTCTGAAACCCCTCCTTATGACCCAACATGTTTCCAATCAACAGGACCCTTCCACAAGGACACGTGAATCAATTTCTTCCTCGGGGCAGCGAAGGCAATCCGTACTTCGGCGGCTGCTGCATTTTGGGAATGAGGAAGCCTGCCTTGTGGATCCAACAGAAGAGGAAATTCAGTGCCCTTCTGCGCTGGGAAGGGCGGGAAGGGTGTGTATGGGACAACCGTGTTAAGATAGCGCAGCACTGAGCTCTCTATTCAAATAGGGACACTTCTTTCACAATTAGACAATCATACTTTTTACTCGAGTCCAACTGGCCAGAGCTTCCACGCGTGTCTAGTGCGTGGCAACTGCTGGAATGACAAGCTCCCTCTGGATGGACGTTTGCATGCAAGCAAGCAAGCAAGCAAGCAAGCAGACTCACCTTCTGCACAAATTGGGGGTTCACAGTGATCTCCTGATCCATGGCTTTCAGCCTCTCATCAAGCTCTATACATTTCAGCATCTGTGGAGGGTCAAAGCATGCACAAGAGGCCTTGTGACTCGGACGGGGCTGTTTCAGGACTCGCCGGAACCCGGAGCCAGCTGGCCAAGCTCTTCGTACGCTTCTCACCCACGAGCTGGCCGCTGCTCCGCGGGCCCCCCCTTGGCACCCGTGCTTCAGGCCCGGTGCTTTAGAGCAGCCTGAGGGGCTCTGAGCAGGTGCCCAGTCGCCAAGAGGCCTGTCTTGGCCCGGCCACCCACGGATCAGAACAAAGAGGGAGCGGTCCTCTTCTGTGCCTCAGCACCACGGTGCACGCAAAGGACTTAGTTACCTCCTGATCAATGTTGTGAAGCATGGCTGGGTTGTTGTATTTCTCGGGATTATCATGGAAACAGACCATCCCGTCTTTCTGGTTAATACTTGCAAATATTTCACCGTCTTCTATCTGAAAAAGGATTTAGGCATATTACAGCTTGGGTCCAGGAAAGCCTTTGGTCAGTTCACAGGCAGCCTCATCGAAGCAACAAAGCCATCCATACCGTTCCCTGTGCCAGTCCTGCCTCTGTTAACTCTTCCTATTGCTTCTATTTATTTTGCCAGGTAACACTACATAAATAAAACAAGCTCTTCATATATTCTTAAAATCAAGAAATACACTTCTGTGCCCACCAAAGCAAATGTCTGATGTAAATCAAGCAGGCTTGCATTTTCCCACTTCACACAACGTATTACGGTTTTGCTTTTCATGGGAAAGGGCAGGGAATGGTGCTGGGCAACGCAGGATCATCCCTGAATTTCTGAAACTTCTTCCATGTTTCCTTATCGCACAGCAAGACAGTTCCATTGAAATGTTAGGGAAATCTTCTGCAGCCACTGACCTCTGGCCTCCAAGATGGGACTGCCACTCAGTGGGGCGGCTTTCCCAAGCGTTGCTACGTATTTAATGCTTTAGGAATCCTCTGCTTCTGCCAGAAGAATTCGAGGCAGCCTTATTTCAGTTCTGTGCTGCCCAACAGCCCAAAGCTCTCCTCCTCGAAAGCAACATTCCTTACCATATGAAGGACATATTTCTCCGCTTCCTGAGGCCCTGAGAGCTGCACCCTGCTTGCCATGTCTTGCAAGGACAATGTTAAAAATGTCTGAAATTCAGAAGGAGGGCAAACACATTTGAGGCTTAAAGTAAGACATTTGAGGCTCCACAAGCATCATTTCCCATCATGGAACCTAAGGGTCCCGCGTTCCAGACAAGCTCCCAAGGGCTGTGTCTCGGTGGGGCGTGGGTGCAAAGGCAAAAGGTACAGGACCAAAAGCCTAAAAAAACAGCACTTGTGAACATTCTTCCTGCCCGAAAAGCAGCACATCACTCTTTTAGGACTGGGAAATTTATGCAAAAGCTGGGAAACTGCCATATTGCTGGAAGGCCAGATTTGGCCCGGAGGTTCTGCACTGCTGTATAGCACCCAGAAACTATGCTCTGCAGGACAACCAACAGGGGAGTAATTGGGAGCCGTGCAAGCCATTTCCTCAGGAGGACCCGTTTTAAGTCTGCTCTGCCGGTGAAGCTTCTGCAAGACCTTTTGCCAGAAGGCAGAAACCCCCCGGGACGCCATCCGTTGCCATCCGTTGCCCACGGGCCTGCTTTGCAACACGTGGGGACGGGCACAAAAGCTGCTGCAGGTGTCCGGTGTGCTCGGCCCTGGGGCGCCACGGGGGACTCACCTTGGTTAGCCTTTGAATGTTCTTTTTATACAGGGACGACAAGCACTGCTTCACAAGCCCCATGTTGTTGTCCCTGGCAAAAGTCTCGCTGTGCTTGTTCACCAGATTCCGCAACTCTGAGGGCTTATTGGTTGCATATACTTGTGCTAATTCGTGGTAGGCGTTGCTAAGTGGCTGCAAGGAGAAAGGAAGGTCGACTTGTAGGAGGGCAAGGACTGGCGGAGTCACGGTGCTGGGCTGTTGGGTTCTTTAGTGAGCTTTCTGACTGGAAGCAGCTCCCACAAGTTCTCAGGTCCCCCAAAAGCCTTGTTAGCAGAGAAGGAAGAATGCCGGGCTGGAGACCAGCACAGCCGGGTTCTCGCCCCCACCCAACTCACTGGGCGACCCTGGGCCAATTCCAGACTCCTAGCCTAACCTGCTGAGGAGGAGTACTTAAGCTTAAGAAAAACAGGCAGGATATAACTGTAATAAAATAGATCAATAAATGCCAAAAATGAACTTGAGGCCTCATCTGTAAAGGATGCGCTGCAGCCTCTCCCACAGTGAACTGAATGACCCTACTAAACTCCACCCCAAATCTGGTTCTGTGCTTCACTTTTCCTCCCAGCTGGCCCACCACTCCCGTTGTGCATTTCACGGCTGTGAGCTCCCCCGACTTACCTTAATGAATCTACCCACTATCTGGGAGGTGTACTTCGGCAGCTGCTGCACTTTGCCCAGAAGTATCAATGAAACTAAGATATACTTTTTATAAGACTCCAACATAATATGACTGACAGCCATGGCAGGGGTAGTTATTGCCTAAGCAAGAGAAATGCAACAGAAAAAGACAGAAAGAAAGGTGGTGAAAACCAAAAGCACAAACAGCACCGGCCACCCGGCAGTTCTTTCTGGAGAGCCTTCCAGTGAAGCCGCTTAAAATCAATTTGTTAAGAGAAAGAAGAGTTTTACTTATGAACTTAACCTTAGGACTAGATAAATGAGTCCAGGAGAGTCCATGAGTAAGGAGAACCAGTGTGGTGTAGTGGTTAAGAGCATGGACTGGGACTCTGGGTTCAAGTTCCCGCTCAGCCATGGAGCCAACTGGGTGACTTTGGGCCAGTCACGGACTCTCAGCCCAACCTCCCTCACAGGGTTGCTGTTGTGGGGATAAGATGGAGGAGGAGATGTAAGCTGCCTTGAGCCCTTGGTAGGAAAAAGGTGGGATATAAATCGAAAATAAAATTTAAAAAGTTTTTAAAATCAGCAGGCCTCTAAAAGGCCTCCCTTTTCTCTTGGAAAACTGCAGAACATTTGAAAAATCATCTACACTTTTAGCTTTACTAGTTTGGAAGCACCCAAGAAGAGGGAGGTTGGGCAGTTGCTGAACAAAGCATGAAGGAGACCGCCGCTTGGCCTGCCATCGGCTGTCCGGGGAAAGCTGCACATTGCTCATTCGACCAGGGATCAACAATACACTCCCCTGACTCCTTTGCTCCCATCAGGGAAGCCCTGAGCCTTTCATCAGGCATCCATGTTCGGTGGCACACGTACAAAATCCAGACTTTGAAAACAGTGGCTCTCCTGTTCTCTTGTGGAGAGAAAGACTCAACTCTGGGCAGGGAACTCGGAGGGGTATTTACTTGCTGCTGCACCCCCAAAGTCTTTCACTCGTAAACTGGGGGCAAGAGGGTTGGGATGCTCCCACTCCTCTTTTTCGAGGGCTCGGAACCTCAGGCTGGCAGGCCTCCTCCTGGCCACAGAGGGAAGGGTTACCTGCTCATAGAAGTACAGCGCTCTTTCAAAGTTCTTCAGCCCAGTGTATATCATCCCACCATAGTAGTAGTAACACAGAAAGTGCTTGGCATCGTATGCCCCGTTCTCTTTACAGATATCCATCATGTCCACATGCAGATACGGGAGGGCGGGTTTAAAGCACTTTGCTAACAAACAGAGCTAAAAGGAAACAGACCAGAGTTACCAAAGTCGACTCCCGCCACCTCCACGTGCCTGAGAACAAGAGCTTTAGTCGCGGGTCGTGGCAAAATTCCCCTGTGATTACGGAATACAGAGAGTGCATTTTCTCTCCTAATGTAAAATAAATAATTAGGTCTGCTAACCAACACCTTGCAGTTAAGCGTAACAGACGACAGACAGTTGCATGCAGACATCTTCATGCTGAGCAACTGTGGTTTAAGAAAACCTTTCGGCTTAACTTCGAAGGTGTAAGAGAAATTTTGAATACTGTAGTGAAGTCCTGTTTCCCCACTCTGCCCAGGCACCTGCAAATGTGCAACTTTCCATGACTGTTGTTCTCTTGGCCAATTAATTTTAATTTTGCCAATACGCCTAGGCCCAGAAGGGTATATACTAGTTGCATGTTTATGCCAATGCACATAAGCTTCATTGGAGTAAATGCTATTTTTCCAGCTGGGCTTTTTTATCTGTTGGAAGCACAGCATTGTAGCTCCTCCAATCACTCGTCTTGCCTCTGCCAAGGGTCTGAAAGAGGTGGAGCTTCCCAATATATTGCAACCACTGCACGCCCATTCAGAGAGCCATCAAGAGCCAGGGGCTTCCAGCTCAGGTTATGCCACCTGGAAGCTGAGGAAACGAACCTGGAAGCTCCCACAATAAAGGATCCAGGAAAGGGCTAGCTTTGGAAGGGATTCTGTTCAGCCAGTCGCCATTTCCCAGGAGTTCAAAAGCAGCACAGCAACTGGCAAGCAGACTTGGCTGACATTTACTGTGCTTTGGCCCACTTATAACAATGCAGGACTAGAAAGACCCGAGGCTGCTTTATTCCTTTTTCTGCACTGCAAGAATTCATAAAGACCGCGTCACACGCTCATTGGCCAGCTTGGGTCCTTACCTGACATAGGTCGGCGTGAATTGAGGTCAGCTGGTTGGTGTTCATCTGCATCTTATCTATGGCTTGCCTGAGAATGCCAATCCCTCGCAGGGGCTGTCAGAAATTTAACAGTTCGCCTTTAGGCAAGTTTACATACAGACTCCAGTGCCAACACTGACACACGAAAAATCAGCAATACTTTTGCCTTCAATTAGCATAAAGGTCTTAAAATAGATCTTGAGCTCTGAAATCGCCTCAGGTCTTAAAAGGCCTAGCTCATATTGTAAGTCATTCCCTGCCCCAAGGATGAAGGGGCTAAAAATCCCAAAGCAGTGACTCCATATGAACAGCGGGCGAGAGAGAAGCTATGAAATTACTGCACAAGGGAAGTTCCCCATAAACCAGTTATGCACTCACAACCCTGATAATCTGTCAACTGGGTGAGCATTTAAGCAACTTTTTTACCTGTTTCCGTTCCACGAGAGCATTTGTTAACTGATGACACAAACCAGCAACTAGAGACAAACAGAAGAAAAATAAGAACAACTGAGAAATGTCAAACAAAGGAACAGAGCGAATTTGGGAACACAAATCTGCAGAACCGACTCACAAGTGTCTGTCGCATATCGAATGTGTTCCCCGTTACAAGTGCTGATGAAAAGCTGAACCTGCGAGAATAACGTTTCGAAGTCAGGGACACTGGGCATAGAAAACTTCACAAACCTGAAAACAAGACAAAATACATAGCTGATTAAACCATTTGCTTTTCTGCCAGTAATTCTAAGGTTGGAGGAAGGTGACAAGCAGCAAAACCTTTGGCCAAAGCTGAAACGTGCAATGGATCTTTCTGCTAGTGAGTTCAACCTGACGTAACTCTTACAAGCTGCAGGGAACCACAGATGCTTAGCTATACTCAGGAATAGAGAGAGAGATGAAGACCCCACTGCACCTTCATGTCATTTCCTAAGTCAGCCTGTCTTGAACATAAGAAAATGGTAGGCAGAAAAAAAATTGAGCCTGCCGTGTTTTCTCCAAGCTGCACAGAAGAAGGTGTTCTACAGAAAATGCTTCTCCTGCAATAGTATTCATTAAAAAATGAGGCCTGGAAGGGAAGGGGCCAGAAGCCTAAAGAGGATGTTATTAGGCTGGCTGACAAGAAACTGCTCTCCCTTTGGGCATGCAGAGAGCTAGGGTAAGGGGTGGGCACCACTGTAGCGTTTGTGTTAAAAAAAAAAAACAAAGGAGGCTGCTAAGAGGCTGATGGTTGGAATATGTTTGCAATGGACGTTCTCAATGGAATTTTAGCCCTATAAGGCATTCCAACCATCAAAAGCATACGAGGATGATGATGTGACCCTAACCCTAACCCGGTCCACAACACTAATCCTACCAATTTGTGGGTAAAATTCCATTGAATATGGGGCAATTCT